ACATTCTCTTGGTCATTTACAAGGTATATACTTCTTTTTTTGATGGCTTTAATTTTAATTCTAAGTTGATCGGTAATTTCAATTGAGATGCAATTTTTTGTAGAGCCACAATCTACAAGTACTCAACATGGTTGTTCCCTTAGTAGTCCTATTAGATGCACCAATCAACTATTTTTATAATTATCTGAGGCCATGCCATTTGTCTCTGAGAAACAGTAGCTATCTCCAATATTGGCATTAATCACTTTTAATAGAAAGCTTCATTTTCATGCTTTCATTCATTATCGACTTGCTGAGTTTTGAGACTATGAATCCACCTTGTCTTGTTGGTACTTGAATTTTGATATTTTGGACAACCTCCATTTTGATGGCTTGACTCTCGATAATAGAAACAAAATCCCTTTTGTACCAATATTTGTTGTCTTTATGGTATCAATAATCTTTGTAGGATATCAATCTCCATTGATATTGGTTGTTATACCATAGTATTAAATAGCAGCATAGGACTTTGTAATATAGGTTATACTCCATGATTTTTGAAATCTATAGCATTGATTTTTTTTTGCAATCCAAATTATCTCTTCAAATGTTTGTAGATTCTTTAGCTCCACCTCTAATTGGACCCCACATTTCAAACCTTGTAAGAATTGATCTATCATCTCTGCTGTCGTGTTGTGACACGACTATATGGTGAAAATATGACAAAAAAATGATATTTTAATTAATATTCTATTATCATGGTTCAACAAGCATTCAATATATTTTACAAGGCTTTTATAAAAGCCTCTAATCCTATTTTCTTCACTTAATAGCTAGTAGATAAAAACTAGTTAGTAATTTTACCTTCTAGGCTGTAGTAACTTTTTTATTGCCTTAGAAAGGCCATAAAATGGTAAAAAAAGGATAAAAAGAATAATTTATTAGCATGGTTGATACTAGGGTTAAGTTGAGGGTAGGATCGGGCTATAAAACCACTAGGATAGATTAGATTGATATCCGGGGGTCGGCCGGATATGAGACAGGGTCAAAATCCGACCTCCAGCCACTAAAACGGCCGCCTAGGGCAAAATACGGGGGTTTTTTTCAGATCGGGTTTTTGGATCGAAGAGCTAGCTTTAAGCTCTTTTCAAGGTCACTAGTTTGGTTTCATTAGGATTTGTGAGGGGAGAGCAATCGCTGCTCAAAGTTAGTGTTTATTTTGGTGTTTCGGATTTTATATAAAACATTGATGGTTTGCATTCTCAATCGGTTTGTGCAAGTCGTGTAGCATCTATGGGTCAAAATTTGGTATTGTCTGGATAGTTGGGTGTGCTAAGTGTATACAAAAATTTGTGTTAATCTAACGATGCAATCAAGAGATATTTGGGTTTTAGTACAAAGGGTTGTCGAAAGTTGGCAGTCTAGGGTTGGATAGGGTTTCTGTGATATCTGAAGATCTACTAATTGAATCGACGTAATTTTTGGCTTGGTAATAGAAGATTTGGAGATCAAGTGGCTATTCAATTTTGAGCTGGAGTTAACGGTTGACAAAGGAGAAATCACTTCTGGAGTTTCTACATCAAATTTCAAGGTTGTGGCCGAGTGTCATCAGTGCGGTTTTTGGGCGTTTTCTTGCAATCTGTAAGTTGGGTTGGGCTGAAATTTTCTGAGCATATAGAAGGCTTATACTGGTATTTGGGTGCAAAATTTCACACTAAGTGGACGGTTGGATCAAAAGTTACAGCTTATCAAAGCTCACTGGCTAGGGTTAGGGCTTGTTAAAAAAAACAAAAACAACTTAATTATAAAAGAAATAAAGCAATTGGAATATTGTATGGTTAAAATGGCTATGAGGAGTGTTTTTAAATACTTGGAAATTGATATTTCAATTATATTCTTCATACATGGATAAAATCTATCAGGATTTCTTTGTTATTTGCAAAAACAACTATACCTTCCACAGCCAGATACCCAGTGTATTCCGAGAGAAGACAACACGTAATACGACACCGCCTTTGAAACATTGTAAATTTGGAGACATAGGAATTTAAATCAAAAGACATAATCTTGCATTGACTTAGCTTGTATAAGATTTGCCAATTGATCTTACACTATCTTTTTCATATTAATAGGTCAAAATTGATTCCTAAATTCGATCTCAAATTCATCCCAATTACAAAATCTACCTTGAATTCCATAGCTTTGAACTCAATGTCGTCACAAAATGATTGTTGCATCTCTCAAATAGTTGGTTGCATATATAATTACTTCAGTGGTATTTGTTCCAGATAATTAGAGGTATTGTCGCATGTTAAAGAACCATTGACATATATCTTCTTATCTGAAAGTTCCAGAGTATGTACAAAACTTACTCAATTTCAAACTAGCAAATGTCGACTCTTTTGTCCTTGAGGCTTCTATTTGCCCTTGTAAAGTAGCTATTTGGCTTAAGAGGTGTTGTATTTGAGCCTCCATCTAGGATTGTTCTATCATATCTCTCATACTATAATTTCTCCGCTAGACTCCACTATTGTAATGCCTTTTCACCTCTCGATTGACTTTTTAAGAGTAGCTCATGGTAGCCTCAACAAAGTACCTAGTGTAATGATAATAACTAACCTTAGACTAGATAATGAATATTGATATGCTACCAAAAGTAAACAGTCTAAAACTCACTTTGATACCAATAAGATAGGACCAGACTATCTCAAAAATCCAAGACTCTTCTAATCCATAGCAACATAAAGCCTTATCACAAAATAGGACAAAACAAACGAGAACAAAATTGAATGGAACTAAATAGAATAGAACATGAAAGACAAAACCTAGCAAATGGAAATAGAACAAAATAGAAGTGAATAGAAAGATATAAAACTAAATTTTACTAAAAGAAAGGGTCCAAAGCCATACCTGACTAGATGCTTCAAAAGGCCCTAGTTAGTCCTATTTATATCTTATCTTATCACCCTAGACTTTTTAGAATATTCCAAGGTAGTTGGACCTATATAGATAACTGCTTTAAACTCATTTTTTAGAAGGTTCTATAATAGGCTCCACTTAGATAACCTCCTTAAGTTTTTTTTTAGAAGATTCTATAGTAGATTCTATTTAAATAATTATCTTAAATTCTTTCTAGAATATTCTACTATAGATCCTACTTGATCCACTAACCTAATTCCAATTCTAAAAACTTTCATGGTTCTATCTATACAATTATCTTATCTATACCCTATTACATTTTTGATGTCAAGTAAAGATGTGCCCTGTAATATAATATGTTTGTTGGAATTAAAATTGGAGCGAACATAAGACAATGAAAGAAAGACTCCAAATTCCCTCTACTCAAGGAAGATCTAAGATTCATCTCTGTCAATGTCTATTAAGTTCAAAAATTTCCAATTTCTAAACTGTAAAAGTAGTCACATGGATTGAATCATAAGATTAAAGTGTGTTGATTTAAGATTTAGATGAGTCAATTTATATTCAACTTTTAAATTTTAAATTTTATAATATATATATATATATATATATATATATATATATATAATAACAAACTTATAATTTTTTAAATCACATAATTATAAATATCTAATATAAATTATTATTTTTTTGAATATATCAAAAATATTATTTTTAAAAAAAGAAAAAAATAATATCTTTTAAAAGAAACTTATTCTAAAACTCTACAACAAATAAAAATGAATTTCAACTATTAATTTATGATATTCATTTAAAATAATAATTTCGGCTTATATACTATAGTTAACAATTTATACTAAAATTTTTAAAGTTTTTTATTTGTGAAATTTTAATTTTTATGTAATCAATTTTGTATAATTTATTTTTATTTTTAAGAAAATTCTAAAAAAATAATATGTAATTTTCTTTAAATTAACATAAATATTTGATAAAAATATCTTTATATTTAATTATATCTCGATAAATCTATATAATACTATATTACTATAAAATAGCTTTTCAAAGTATTTAATTTGAAATAATAATGTTTAAATTGTGAACACATTATAGGACATGTTTATATTAATTTTATATTTTTTTGCAAAATTATTACAACTGTAATAACATTTTTCAAGATATTTTAAAGTTTTAATCTAATTAATTAATATAATTGGTTTTAGTAGGATTAAAATACGTCAATTTACTTACACAATCTATAAAATAATAATTCATATAAATATATTTAATAATTTAATAATAAGATTATTAGAAATTTTAATTGAAAAATAATATTCTCATGTATTTGAAGAAGTTACTAACTTTAAATTTGTAATACATGATTTAAATTGTTTTAGAAGTTGCAATTTTTATTATGTGAAATCAAACACTTTTTTAACGTAATTGAAATTAAAGATAATATGGAAATAGAACAATATATATATTAAATAAAAAAATATAGTAAGAAGTATAATTTTTAAAATATTTGCAATAGGATTGATATTTGACAAAGTTTCACTTGGAAATGGAAATACTAAATTCAGTGAACGAAAGCAAAAGCATGAAATGAAAAAGAAAAAAAAGAAAAGAAAAGAAAAAGGTAAAAATATGCTTCCTCGATGTGAAGCATGTGACCTTCCAGGGTAACTAAAATGAACACGTGACTATACATTTCATCCATTCATTTACACATTCATCCATCTACCTTCTCATCCAACACATTTAACACCTTTCACTGACGCCAAGCTCACACGGAAACAAGACCAATGATTACCAGATTGACTCTCATCCCCAATCAATGTGCGAAACCCTTTTCACACTGGAATGTGGTTTACTTTGAATGAACAGTGTAATGCCTGATTGAGGATAACCGTAGTTATTGTGGATGAACGTGGTGATGAGTTTCGGGTTTCGAGGACCGAGGCGGAGTGGCTAGCAACTGGGAGATGAACTCGTCGCCCGTCCACCAAGATGCCGATCACTCACGGCCCAGTGTATAATTTTGTCTGGAACTGGACCGTGTCATTCAAGGGAAATGATTTGAGAATAATGCAAGTCAAGGAATGCCTAGTCTCCGATTAGCCACAGAGTGGGTTCGAGCTGGAGATAGGCTTCGTGGCCTGCGATTTGGTGGGACTAAATGCATCGAGCATGACTGGCTGACTGATTGATCGCAGCTTTGCTACCTTTGTCAAAGATCCCCGAGCTTTGTTCTATTGAGCAAAGTTGCAGCGAGCTAGCTACCCCCACCCCCCAATCATGCTCCCTCTCCGCTCAATGCAGCAATCAGTCCCCTCATTGCCTAATGTTCTCCGTTATCTCCTTCGTTTAGCACATTCCGTTTCTCTCTCTTTGTCTTATGAGAGACGAGATTAGATCGGGTATTGTGATGTGATGAGATGAGCTGAGATCGGACCTGGTGAGATCTCTGGTGGTGGTTTGGTTTTATGGCAACAAACAGGTTATAGTTGTCGATGATTATGATCTGCAGCTAGGGTGGAGAGGAGCGCTCCTGTGAAGGCTTGTTTTCGTTGCTTAGGTCAGGGTTGTGCGAGTTGCCGTGGGAACGATCACAACGACGTCAAGTAGTTCTGTGTTATTTTTTGCCGCAATGTTATGGCAGATCAGTTTGTTTGGATTGAGACGTACTCTCGCGGCCTTCTGAGAGTGGGACCAATTGAGAACAGGGGGTCAGAATCAAGTGGCGTGTTAGCAGTTTTTGGTACTGTATTTTTAGGACTAGGGTAGCGCTGCAGTATGATTTGACTTGGTCGAAGCAGGAGAGAGTCTTCAAGGAGACACATAGCTTCCACAATTTTGGAGTCAGTTCCTAAATTCAGATCTGTTGAACAAATTCTAGTGAGAAACGCAACCTCATTGGAAAAAATTACGGTGACTCTTTCGGCTGAAATTGGTCACAATCTTCCAAGTTTGAATTCGGATTAGATAATCACCTACAGAGTTCAGAGTTAAGACGATGGATCGGCAGCATGAGCCCAGGGCACTGGACTTTGGGAAGCTCAACGATATGGAAGCTCAAGAATATGACGAGGAGGCAGCTCTCCTTGACTACATCTCTGCTCGTCAAAAGCAAACCATTGTGGAAAGTGCTCGTTGGACTGGATACTCTGAAACCCACCCCATTATGCAGGTTTTGGACATAATGCGAGAATCCACAACGATTCTCCGAAAACACAGCAGTATTCTTCTTGTCATGGGATTAATTTTCGCAGTCCCACTGTCGATACTACTCCTTTCAGATGTACCGCTCCTATTTCCGGTAATGGATGATTTTGTCAGACTGATGCAACTCGCTGCGGAGCAAAGGTTCGGCCAAAAGTCGCACCGAACTGGGTACAGGAGACTGGCCGAAATTGTGATGTCCAATGTGGTGGACATCCCACTCTCGGCGTTATTCTCCCCACTCCTCAAAGCAGGAGTGGCTTACGTCGTGGCCTCCACCTACATTCGTAAGAGAGTAACGTTGACGGAAGTTCTAGAAATCATGCAAAAAATTGGGGTTCTCCTGGTGCAGACCTTCCTGTGGACTTGCTCGGTGTATTTAACCTTCAGCTCCATGTTTGCCGCACTGTTGTGGCTTGCTTCAAGGATCAGCAAAGCCTCCACCATCTTCACCAACGCGAGTCTCTTGGCAGTTGTCTTCGTTGGACTGACTCTGGTTGTGGGATTAGCATTTGTGAATGTCATGTGTAATCTTGCCTATGTTGTGACTATTCTAGAAGGAGCTCATGCGAGACAAGCTCTTGTGCAAAGCATTCGACTTCTCAAAGGAAAGTTCCAGGTGTCGCTGCTACTCTTTCTGATCACTAATGTAAACGCCGCTCTGCTAGACATCCTGTTTGAGTTTCACATTATTCAGAACGCTGATGCATCACTCGGGCACGAGAAGTATTGGGAGGCGCCATTGCTCGTAAGCATGCACTCGTTTGTACACCTCTTCGACGCCATTATGGTTTGCGTCTTGTATTACATATGCAAGGGGTCTGAAATAGAGAGTGGGGGGCTTCACTGTGTTCCAGATCATCATTCTAGACCTAATGATCTGACAGAGGCGAGGTCACCCGTCACAGTTAGATCACCCTTCGCAGTTCGCTGAGCCGATCCTGCACATATATTTGTACATTTCTCTGTAACTGGTCAATTTGACATCAATTGGGTTGCGCACGCGGAAACAACCCGCACCCTATTTCCCACTCCTTTTCTGCCATCATACTGTTCCATTGCACAAGCTCACCTTCAAATCCATGATCTCATCCTTGATTATGGAGTTGCAATGTCTACCAACCTTCCGTTCATCGCAGAATGGTGTGTAAATCTATTTTCTTTACACTCGGCCACACCTGACACTCACAGCCATTTGGACATCGGCTATGCAAAAATGCAAAGTAGTAGCTAAAGTTCGAAACATAAACCCAACGCGTAGTATTTCCATGGGAGCTCAACCTGAGAAGCTGTAGATATTGACAGTTTCACCAATCCCTAACCCTAGCTTCTATCATGGGTTGGGCGGAATGGCACTTCGGAAGGGAGTTCCTACCGACGGTACTAAATGCGAGCGTCACACTGCAGATCGACGGCTATTCTCGGCGGAGTTGAGGATGAGAAAACCACATAGACCACGTCAAGCAACCTTCGGCACATAAATGAAGGGTGCCCACAATTTATAAAAGCGAAGTCTTCGCAATGGACCATAATTACGGCCTCGAAGGTCTCTCAGATTCGTCGCAATGCTGTATGACGTGAATTTCCAAGGGTAGCTGAGAATTGCGAAGACCCAAGTCAAGATTCAGAAACCCACCGGAGAAGGTGAGGCCGCGGAGCCACAGCAGGAAGCCCGCAAATCGAGTCACGGAGAGTCGTCCTTGCCGCAGCTGTGTGGCTCTTCGTTCATTCGTGGCTTTGCCTTTTTATTTACTTTTTTCGATAAAGAAAAGGTTCTTCAATTACTTAAAAAAGAATACAGGCTACGAAGTGTTGGTGAGTATATGATTTGATATTGACAACGGAAAGTTTTTATCGTGCTCAGATTGAATGAAAAAAAATAATTAAATAAATAAAAATGCTTTGTTCAGTACTTGAATGGTTTTGTCGAGATGTGGAAGTTGTTATAACTCATAATGTTGACATGCTTCTAGAAAAAAATCAACTGGTTGAAAATTAACCCTTTTACTCCTCTATATTTCATTTTTAAACTATAATATACATAATAAAAAATATACTTCCAAGTTTCATATTACAATAATATATATTTTTTGTGGAAGCTAGGATGCCTTGACAAAAGGCTAGGATGCTCCGCCTAAGAAGGCCACCAGAAGGAAGAACCCTTCCAAGAGAGTTGTTGGGTCTCCAAGTGGGAGAGCCGGTATGTTAGAAGGAAAAGCGGGCACCCAAGACAATGGTGTCCAGAATGAAGAGACCCAAGGGGTTCGAATAACTCGAGTGGAGTTGTCGAAGAAGCACCACGCAAAGAGGATACTCAAAAGTTAAGTTCTTCCTCCTCAAGTAGAGAAAGTGAAGCCACAAAATCTGGAGAGAGTGAGAAAAGGAATCTAAGCAAAAGCAAGGAACCTTTGAAAAGGAAGCAAGGCAACTCTTTAAGAGAAGAGCCAATCAATCAAGTCCAAAGTTCAAGAGCAGACATCAAGGTCACCTTGTCCTTCACGGAACTTATGAAGTTAGTAAGGTCGGAAGTAGCAAGTGACAGGAAGCGGTGGATGGACGAAAAGGAAGTTGAAAGGGGTACCTTAACTAAGGTTTTTGCTCCCTAGAAATGGAGTGATGTGGAGGAAAGGAGACCCATGAGGTAATTCCTCGAAGAAGTGGAAGTTTGGTTTGAAGCCATAGACATCGAAGGAGCAAGGAGAATCAAAACCTTGACAACCTTGCTTGAAAGCACTGCCTTAGAGTGGTACTTAGCAGAGAAGAACAAGACACTAGACGGAATAGAGAAGACATGGGAGGAAGTAAAGGAAATGTTGATGGCATGTTTCATGCCAAGGCATCAACATTTCTTAGATGGAATTGCCATGATCCACTTGAAACAGGGTGTGGAAAAAGGTTCCTTCAAAAATTGTGCTCGAGAGTTTCAAGCCAAAATGGTGTCTTGTAAAAGAATGAATGAGTATGCAAAGTAAGTGTGTTTCTATGCGAGTCTTGAAGAGGCCAGTAGGCACAAATACTTTGAAAGAGAGTCGGTTCTTGAGACCTTAAAAAAAGCTTTGGCCTTGGTTGATCAACTCATGGTGGAGAGCTCCGCAAGTGGAATTAGTCATGGAAGTTGGAAGAAAAAGGTTTCTTAGCCAAAGAAGTCCAAACAAGATAAGGACAAAAACTTCAAAAGGAAGTTTGAGTCAGACATTCACAAGGCTTAGAGAGATTGAGGAAGCAAGGAGAAAAAGTCCCGCCATGATAATGATATTTGCTATAGGTGCCAATAAAGTGGTCAACTGGCTAAGGATTGCTCCGGCAACTCCGAAACCATGTCATTCTTAAGGACAAGAACATGATAAAGATAAATAAACAAGTGAAACTTTTTTCATAGAAAGATGACAAAATAGAAATAACTTGATATATATATTAAGAAAGAAACTAGAATGGCTATTGCCAAAAGTCAAGAAAACTAGAGATCCTTGAAACTAGATTGGAAGCAAGAAAAGAGTGACAAGAGTGAAGAAAGCTTCACTCTTGTCTCTATATATACTATCTAACTAGGGGCTACGTGGCAATGTTCTATAAGACCTCCAATATGTGTTGACTTTGTAGGATACATGCCTTGACTTACAAGGCAAGTTTTTCTATGTGTGGGCCACATAATTAGCTTGGTCTTCAAGCTAATAACATGTGTGGCACATGGCAAACTTGTTGACCACGTTTCTAATCCAAAAAGCCAATTAAAGACACCTATGAAGTCAAAGCAGCATCTATGGAGCTTCTAGGAAGCTTTCATATCAAATACTATAGAATTAAATTACATTTATTTGCTTTTATTTACTTCTACCTATTTATACATGTAATTACTGGCTTACATGAGTATGTTCGTGACATTACCCCCCTTCTAGAGACGATCCCACGAGAAGCGGTCATCATATGTTGAGGAGATCTATGATGCAACAAATTATATTCGCCACATACTTTGATCTTTATTCTCTTTGAACATATTTGATAGGGCCTCTCAACGATCGGTAGTATTTCATACCAAGGCAGGAAGACCACCCAATTATTTGATCATTGTTGAGGCCTTCATAACTTCCTTCAAATAAAACATTTGGAACACCATCAGGAGTTGTTCCTACCTCTAGTAAAATCACCAAACATCGGGAGTCCCTTCTAAGATTGTGATACCTAATGCATTGTATTTTGCCATCTATTCGAGGAAGAACATGTCGTTCTTGAAGATCTTCATCTCGATTGTGTCGTCTTGAAGATTGTGACAATTGTAATGTCTCGTCTAGCAAGTCAACAAATGAAGGCTCTTGAGTCAAATCCGCTAGATGTTGGTTCTCCATTTCTTGAGCATCACAACTACAAAGAAGCTACAAACAAGGATTGAAAGTAAAATGTTATCTTGCCTAGATCTTTTTTTTTTTGTAAGGAAGGTTTTCATCTTAATTTTGATGGATGTTGTGGATGAAAAGTCTCCACCGCCTTTGCTGCATTTACAAGATTCTTTACTGGCTCCCATGTGTGTTCACTAATATCATATCTGCGCCAATGGACAAGATATTCTAATTTATTTCGACGCTACCTTGAATCTAAGACTTCTTCCATTTCAAATTCTTCATTATTATCTACTTTTATAAGAGGAGGTAGAGCTTGTCTTTTTTTTGGTATGTCTCCTATCTTGTATAGTTCAAGAAGAGACATGTGGAATACTAGATGGATTTTCATTGACTCCAATAGATGTAAACAATATGCAAATCGATTGATTTGTGTAGAAATAGAAAATGGTCCAAGCCTCCAATAGTCCAACTTGTCACAAGGACGAGTGGTCTTGATATTGCGATGAAGTAACCATACCTTATCACCCATGTGGAATGGTGGTTGTTCCTTTCGATAAACATCTGTTTTGACCTTTTGTTGTTCTTGAGCTTCTTTTAATTGTGCCTTCATCGTTGCATGTAGCTCTGACAAATGAATTGCCAAATCTTTCATACTAGGATTATCAACTTTTGAAAAGTCAAAAGTATCAAGTCATAGATGATAACCATAATTAGCAAAGAAAGGTGTTTGTTTTGTAGGAAAATATACCGTATTATTGTAAGCAAACTCTGCCAATGGCAAAAGAATTGTCCAATCATCTTGTTGGTAGTTAAAGGTACATCTTAAATACTGCTCCAGAACTTGATTAACATGCTTCGTTTGTCCATTAGTTTGAGGATGGAATGCCGAAGATTGGATTATATCCACTTTTAGAATCTTGAAAAGAGTCCGCCAAAATCTTGATATAAATTGAGTTCTTTTATCTGATATAATATCCTTTTATAATCCATGATAGCGATAGATATTGTGAAGAAAGAGCTTAGTTGTTTCTTCACTTGTGATAGATTTTGTACATGGTACAAAATGTGCCATCTTGGTAAAACGATCTACTATCACGAATATAGAGTCATAAGAACCTGAGATTAGAAGATCCGTGATAAAATCCATAGAAATAGAAGACCATGGTTGTTCTGGAATGGATAATGGCTGAAAAAGTCCATAAAGTTGATGACGAGGAGTTTTTGATCTTGAGCAAATATCACAATATTGTACAAAATCTTTGACTGCTTTCTACATTTGTGGCCACCAAAAGTCCCTGGATATTAGTTCCAAAGTTTTATTATACCTAAAATGTCTTACTACTGGGAAGTCATGACAAGCTTGAAGAATACGTAATCGAGCTTCACCTTCTAGAACATATAGGCGTCCCTCAAAATATAGTAGATTCTTCTTGAATTCAAACTTAGAAGTATCATGAGACTTTGAAGGATTTCTCTTCATATCACGATGTCGGGATAGAGAGGTTTTGCCTCAAGAAAGCGTTGGGCTTCTGGTTGTCACTAATTGCTCAATCAAGCTTAAAATAAGGAAACTCTAAATTCATATATATAAGTTCTCTTTTTGGGAAAATTACACCAAATACTTAGGTCTTAAATAACCAACAACACCCAAAATATATTAGAAGTATTCTAAGACCTTGTATATCCTTATATGGAAATTCTCCTGAAC